TGCACACACCAATGGGCTCCGGTACTTATGTTGATCAAGATGAATCCGGTATTTCCATTGATATTACTAAATATTGAGGCATGATTGGCTCACTGTTATACTTGATGGCAAGTCGTCCTGACATCATGTACAGTGTATGTCTGTGTGCACGATTTCAAGCAAACCCGAAGGAATCTCACCTTATGGCGGTAAAAAGAATCATGAAATATCTCAAAGGAACAACCAATGTCGGCCTATGGTACCCAAAAGGTAATATATGCAATTTAATTGGTTATTCTGACGTTGATTATGCAGGATGTAAAACAGATAGAAAAAGCACAAGTGGCACTTGTCACATTTTGGGAAATGCATTAGTCTCTTGGGCATTCAAGTAACAAGCTTGTGTGGCTCTTAGTACGACCGAGGCGGAATACATTGCAGCGGGTAGTTGTTGTGCGCAAATTCTATGGCTCAAGCAACAACTCCGTGACTACGGACTCGACCTTGGATGCATTCCACTCCGATGCGACAACACAAGTGCAATCAACATTACAAAAAATCTTATGATGCATTCTAGAACAAAGCATATCGACATTCGACATCACTTTCTTCGTGATCATGTACTTCAAGGAGATGTCGAAGTCACCTTCGTGGATACGCATAATCAACTAGCAGATATCTTCACTAAACCGTTGGCAAGAGAACCATTCTTCAAGATCCGAAGAGAGCTAGGTATCTTGGACGAAAATGACATTATCTAATTAAGGTACATGGCTATGATCTTAATCTTAACCTTATGGTAATATATCATGATCCATGTTTTTATTACTAAATTTTTGATATATGACCATGAAATCCCCAAAAATTAAGTATTTTTCACTAATGACAATCGGTTGTCATAGAGTGACAATCGGTTGTATCTAAAAAAAATAGATTTTGTCTTCACAACAATCGGTTGTCACTCCACGACATTACTATTATTTATTTTGTACAAGATTCTTATTCTCTTTTTGAATGTTTTTAAGTGTTTGGTCAACAATTTCTTAATGCTTAGTCTTTTCCTATGACACAATTTTTTGGATACTTACACACTCAAGAATCTCTATGCTACAAGTATTTATTGTTTTGTCTAAACCATTGAATGCCTTACCTATCCATTAAATTCCTATCTATCTATAAAAGCCCAACCAAAACCTAAACTTCATATATCCTCTTTTGTTTCAAGAAACCCTACAAACACCAAATACACTTTCCCCTTTCAATTCTCTCATCCCTCACCATGTCAACATCAAAGAAAAGCAAGGGAAAAGCTTCTTCCTCATCTCAAGGTGATGATATCTCAAAACCCATTCCATCAAGAAGCCAAAGGGAAAGATTTGTGTCTCACTTTCAGAAGATGACAGTTCTTCTACCAAGGTTCGGTAATCTTGACAACTTCTATTCCGAATGCTTTAGTTTTCCAGCTTTATTTAGATCTCAAGGGATATACAAGTTGATTGGTGTTAATGAACCCATTTACCCCACTTTGGTTAGAATTTTCTACAGCAATCTAACCATTAGTAGAGGATGCATGATTTCAAATGTCAAAGGGTTTCCTATAGAACTCACAGTGCAGAATTTTGGTGAAGCTTTGGGTATTCCACATGATGGTGCTTGCATTAAACTTCTCTCAAATGCAAATCTGCCTGGCTACAGCAAAAGAGACTTCTACTATGGAATTGCAAGAATTCTCGAGCGTGATTTTATTCAGAAAGGGCAAAGGCTTATTGGTGGAACTCTGGAGAGGAATTCTCACTATTGATGATCGTTTGATCCACTACTTTTTGGCGTATGTGGTTATGCCAAAGTTCTCAAATATTTCCAATGTCAATGATTGTGAGATGCAAATTCTGTATGCGATGAAGAATGGGATTCAAATCAACTGGTCTTATGTGATTCTACATCATATGGCACTACATAATGAAAATTCTTCTGCTCTTCCTTATGGCTCCTGGCTTACCCTTATTTTTGAGAAGTTCAATGTTCCCTTGTCTGGTGAACACATGGTGCCTATGACTAACCCCAAACATGAAATCACTCCGAAGAAAGTATGTAATACCAAAACCGGCGTCAAATTTGATCCGATTAATAGAACCATCACATACATTCATACTCCTCCACAAAACCAACCTCCACAAGAACAACCACTTCAAAACCAACCTCCACAACCAATGGAAAACTATTACAATCAAGTTTTTGACTACCTTCAATACATGAACAACAACATGAACAATCAATTTGCTCATCTCTATGCCCATACCAATGTCCCTCCTTATGAAGCTCAACCTTATCATTACCCTTTCATTCAACCTCAAACCAATGAAGGCAATGATGGTGAAGATCAAGATGATGAAGACCTTGTTGAAGGCATGGATGATTAGTTTTTAAGTTATTATATTTCTTAGTACTTTATGTTCTTATGTTTTATGTCATTTTTCTAGTTTCGTTTAAGACACTTCATGTATTGTGATCCTTTTCGTTTTGTGCACTTTGTTTCTGTTATATCTATGTATGCAAACTTTATTTATGCTATGTTGTTTCTATGTGCAAAAATTTTATGATCTTCTTTCCCATTCCTTTTTGCTACAAAGGGGGAGAAGACTTTGTAGTTTCTTTTGTGTTTCTCTAACCCAAATTGCAGCAAGCAAGCAATCTTCAAAACTCTCATGCAATAGATCAAGGGGGAGTCTTTGACTTAGGGGGGGTTTTTAAACAACTTGATTAGAGAAAACCAAGATGCACTCCAAACTTCAAGCAATGGTTGTCATCATCAAAAAGGGGGAGACTGTGAAATCAAGCTTTCCAAATGTTTTGATGAAGACAAGCTAGCATGCAAAAATGAATGGATCAAGATAGAAGATTTATCTCAAGCAAAGATTCATTGATCAAGATCAACATTTCAAGACTTATGGCTTAAGGTATATGAAATTTTTGATCTTATGCTCTTAGTGCTCAAAACTATTTTTAATCATGCATTTACTTTATTAAAATAATATTTTGAGTATATACTATGTATGATTGAAGAAGGATGTTTTAAATTGCTTAAAATCTTTGAAAATAATGATTTTTCAATTTTTGTACACAAGCAATTGATTGTCATGCTAGGACAATCGGTTGCATCCAAAAAAACAAAAGCTTCTGTTTGACATACAATTGATTGTCATCTAGCAGCAATCAATTGTCATGCGTTTTATTTTCAAATATTTTGAACGTTGGCTTATGAGCAACCGATTGCTCCTCAATAACAATCGGTTGTCATAGTTATATTTTTCAAATATTTTTAAACGTTGTTGTGCTGCAATCGATTGTTGCTTTAGTGCAGTCGGTTGTTGTGCCTTAAATTTTGAAAAAAATTATTTTTCCAGCAACTCTTTTTAACACCTTTTCATGGCAATCTTTATATCTTTTCAAATACATTGTTTTAGTAAAAATGGTTTAAACATTGTTATGATTCATTGAAGAGGTATTACTACACTATAAATTATCTTTTGTTTAGAATTTTAACAACAACAACATATACAACAACAATCACTAACAACTTTTACTTTCTATTCTTTTGATCATACTCTTTATACTCAAGATTTTTGTTCATCATTTTCATATGCATACTGAAAATTCTTCTTGAGCACTTAGAAGAGTATTCCATCTTAAATTTCATATTGAATAGAAAAGATCAATCAAGTGATTGACATTGATCTTTCATTATTCAAACTCTTATACAAATCAAACAAACTATTGTATACTTGTTTTCAGGATTGTTGGAAACAAGAAAGACACTTAGGGAGGATTGTTCTCTTTGTGGTCTTAGTAAAAATCCAAGAGGATTGTTCTTGGTCCAAGAGGATTATTCTTGGTTGTTAGGTAGTCTTTGTACAAATTACCAACTATAAGGAAATCTCTTTCATGTTGAAAGGGGACTGGAGTACTCTCGGACTGTGAGGGGAACCAGGATACATCTCTGTGTTCTTTACTTTCCGCATTTACTGCTTTCATCACTTATCAGAAAAAGAAAGAAAAGAAACTCGTGCAAAAATATTCATACAATTCAGAAAAAGTTTTAAAGAACCTAATTCACCCCCCCCCCCCCCTCTTAGGCGCATCTGAACTTACAATTTTCAATTATACAACAACTACTACGTCTTATCCCATTAAGTGGGGTCAGCTACATAGATCAACTTTCGTCATAATATTCTATCAAAGACCATGTTTCTATCCAAATCATTAATTTCGAGATCCTTCTTGATAACTTCTCTTATAGTTATTTTGGATCTTTCTCTTCCTTGAATTGTTTGTCTTCTCTCCATCTGATTTACTCTCCTTACTCTAGAATTTACAAATTTTCTCTACATGTCCAAACCACCTAAGTTTATTTTCCACCATCTTCTCTATAATAGGCGCTACTCCAACACTCTCTCTAATAATTTTATTTCTAATTTTATCCTGTCGAGTCTTATCACACATCCACTGTAACATCCTCATCTCCACTACACCTACTTTATTCTCGTGTTGATTCTTAACCTCCCAACATTTTGTTCCGTATAAAACCGCAGGTCTTACCGCGGTCCGATAAAACTTTCCCTTTAGCTTGAGCGGTACCTTTGCATCACATAAAATACCCGATGCCTTCTCCATATCTGAGAACATGTCCCTCCACTTTTATATGTGATAAGATGTTCATCCCTTTTCCTAAACCATGTATTGGCTATAGAAAGATCTAAAGTCGACAAAAACTCCAAGATGGATTTATCCTCCGCATTCACCTCTCCTAGGTCAAGACCCCATGCACACTCTCAAAACCTCTTGTCATGCTACCTGCATGTCCATTGAGATCCCCTCCTAGGAAAATCTTCTCTCCATGGGGGTATATACTGAAGTACCCCTTCTAAATCCTCCAAAAGTTTTACCTTAAAGTGTTCTGCTAACCCAACCTGAGGTGTGTATCCACTAATAACATTTAAAGGTGTCTTGTCCTACTACAAATTTCAAGGCTTTATGATTCGGTCTCTTACTCTTCTTACATCCACAACATCCTTCTTCCACCCCTTATCCACAATAATCCCCACCCTATTTCTTGATCTAATTTTTCCAGTATACCAAAGCTTAAATCCCGAGTTGTCTAATTCTTTTGCTTTTTCACCTGTCCACTTAGTTTCTTGTAGGCACATAAAATTAATCTTTCTCCTAACCATAACATCCACTATTTTCATAGATTTTCCAATGAGTGTGCCTATATTCCATGAACCAAAGTGAATCCTCCTTTCATGAAATTGCTTCCTTATCCACAACTGTTCACAAAAGTGTGGGAACCTTGCTTATTTTTTATTACATTTGAGCGGCGATGCAGCGACCCTTGCTCATTTACAGTGTACTCGAGTCATACAGTACGTTGCTTATAGGCAACGGTCTAGCATTCACATTATTACTTAATTGATCCATGTTATAGAGATTCGACAAAATTTTACATTGGCTGTCGAAAGTCTAACACAACTCTCTCCTTTTATCTAAATTTGGGACCAATTAGAAATAACAAAACTAACCTAGACATAATTATTTCCAATTATAAAAAATAAAAATTAATTCATTAATTTGAGAACAGAAAATTGAGGTTTAAAATTAATTGATAACATCAAAATATTTATTATATTAAAATAGATGAAAGTATAATACATTTATAATATTTAATTCTATGAAAAAAAATCTTAATTTTTAATAGAAATTAATTAATCTTACTAAGAAAAACATCAAATAACCACAATCCTTTGTCGGCATTGTGAATGTGATGATGATAAGTGACAGGGGGAAGGTACTAGATTTCACTACAACTTCTTTTTTTCCCAAATAGATTCCTTCACAATGCCACATTTTTAGAATAAAAATTATTTAAACTTAGTTTAAAGTTTGAAGAAACTATCGATTTTGTTTTCTTAACAGTAATTTACTAAAATGAGATTTGAGAGGAGGTAAAGTTAATTCAGACATTATCAAATGTGAAAAGAAAAATGTTTGATTAGTAGTATTTGGTAACGGTATGGAAACCATACAGTGTAATTAGCATTTATTGCTTTCATTTTGTTTTTTCCTCTCTCTTTGATAATACTAATAGATAGGAAAAAGCCAAAAAAAATAGAGATGATAGAATAAAGATGCAAAGATATAAGTTGTTCGATCAACGTCACCTTTTATTTATTTTTTTGCTCAATAATCAAATCATTATCACAATCATTTTATTAATATATTATCCCCAGAAATATTTATTTTTTGCGAGCATCATTTTATTAATATTATAGTATTGTTCATAGAGGTTTGAAAATTTGTTTACAAGTTATATATTTACAGCTTGCAAGAGCTTCTTTTCTTGACCTAGATACGTAGAGACAAATTAAACACTATTTTGTCGGTGACACTGAGAGAATAAGCTAGTAGGGTCATCTTGGCCGACAGATAAAAAAAATTCACAAGTTTTGAATTGGTTAGTTTTCTGTTATATCAGAGATGTACGTTAGGGTCACAAGCAAAAGGTGTTAATTTTTGTGAAAAAGAAAAAGAAAATACGTATCAATATGTATAATACTACCCTTATGCTGAATATAATATTTATCTTTTCTACGTTTTGAAGATGAGTCTTTACTGAGAAGTTTCTCTTTAGTTACACAAACTGTTTTTGTTTGGCCCAACTTCTTCAAAGAAGTAGGAGAATTTTACCCTGCCCTCTCATGATATATATAACACTCCCACATATTTGACTATTGACAAAAATGTTTCTTGTATTATTTACCAATTAAAAATTATACTTGATAAAAAAATTTCACTTTTCATATATTGTAATTTTTGAAATTGTAATTTTTGAAATTTTCGATAGTTAAAACAAAAATCCCGATGCGATTTTTTTTCTTCACTTTGTGGAAAGTTTACATTTATATGAAAAATATAAGAAAATTTAGTATATTCTAAAAAATGCAATTTCATTAAATCTTTTGAAATTACCTATAAAGAAATATCAAAAATTTTAAAAATTCTGATATTTTTCTAAAATAACCAAAATATTTATTAAGTATTTTAAAAAATTCTGTAAACGTCAAAATTTATCAATTATTTCCAAAATTTCGATATACTGGAATTTTCGCCTATATTCAAAAAAATCTAATAGTTTCAAATAATACTTAACTTGTGTTGTCTAGATCTGGAAAGCTCATATATATATATATATATATATATATATATATATATATATATATATATATATATATATATATATATATATATATATATATATATATATATATATATATATACACGAAATTCTTCATATATTTTTTTAATTTGTTCAAAATTTAAATGATTTTTTGCTTCTCTGATATTGATAACTTACTCGTTAAGAATTAGTTCAGTTCAAATATTGATTCGAGTTCGTCATGAATTTTTTTTTAGTTCAAATTTGACTCGTTAGAAGTTCACGAACAACTCAGTTCTACTCGTTAGATTCAACTTGTTTCACGAACTTAAAAGTTATTTTTTTAAAAGTATTATTTTTATATATTTCACATTATAAATTAATATTTTTTGAAATAAAAAATATAGAAGTAAAATAAAAATTATAAGATTGAAATTTATACGATGTTGATTTTATTTGTATAATTATTTTTAGAAATATTTTGCTCATTTAAGAATATAAATTATCAATAAAATTCGTTAGATTAAAAGAAAATATAAGGCTAAGATTAGGAGAAAATCTTTAAACTTATTCTTAAAGACAATATAATTCATCTCATGTATAACGAGTTGACTCATGAACCTATTGAGTTGAACTATATATAGTTTAAGTTCAACTCATTTAATTAACGAACTTAATTTTTAGCTCATATTTATCTCATTTAGTTTATGAACCTAGTTCAACGATTTAATTTTCGAACTGAGTTCTGAACTATTTTCGAGTTGGTTCGGTTCATTGTCAGTTCTACTCTTACAAAAAAGGTTTGTTGTTGCGTGGAATAAAAGAGTCACTCATTTAGGGAACACAACAACGAAGATGTATATGGATGTGACTTTTATGTTATTACATTACTAAACATAATTTAACATATATTTCTATTTATGGTTTTTAGGGTGGAGTCAGCTCATTGGAGACTAAAAATCATGTTGACTACAAACCAGAGAGATTTATGTCAAAGTTGGGATGTTGTGAACACCATATTGAAGTTCCAGTTATGTTCAATCAGAGTGTCGTTTTAAAAAAGTATTGTCAATATTGAGCATCGATATAACACTACATTCTACATCATAGTAAACGATTTCGTTTCAAGACAGTGTATATAATACATTTGAAAAGAAATGGTAAAATTTATTAGTGTCAACCAAGATACATGTGGTTGCTTCATTAGAATAACACATGAGTTTTTATGTGTGTGCCAACTCATCCGTCTCCAAATACAAGGTGATCATATTCCTTTAGAATCAATTCATTTATTTTAGAAGAAATTAAACATTGAGGAGCATGAGATCACTCATAAAGATAGTGGTGCACATTTGGATTTAGAAGAGTGGTGCACATTTGGATTCATAAGGCGGAAAAAAAAAAGGTTCGGGAACTAACACACTCATCCACAACTTTTATGTATCTACAGCCGATGAAATACAAGCCAAAAAGGGAGTTGAGAATAGTAGAAAGGATCAAGAAAGTGATGTGCATCGTGATCCTTCACAGTGGGAATATGTTCAGGGCTCACATGAGAGTCAGACTACGAAGAGATCATACACAAAACCAATTGAAAGTCAATCGTCAAGTATGCCGATTGGAAGTAAACATTCCACCCAATCTTCGAGACATCTTTTATTTTTTATTTTTTTGCATTTTTATTAGTTTTTCGTTTTTCTTGGTCGAGGCATCATTACTTGTCTCAGTTTTCTGATTTCTTACATGACTAAATTGATGACATCATTGATGTTGGCAAAGATGGAAATTATGGTTTTCTTGCTATTGCAACTCTACTTAGATGGGGCGAAGAGTCGTGGTCTTTGGTGCAGATACAGTTATATGCTAAAGTTTATCAACACCTTCAATTATATTCCAATTTATTCTATGACAGTCTCTGAAGTTAGGAGCGTATTGCGAGTAACTAACTTGGGTGTGCAAGTGTTAGCTGGGAATTTCGACCAGGTTAATAAAGGAACTTTTACATTTTAAATTTCCATAAGATGGCTTGAAAAAGAGCTATAGTTGAAATATATTATTTTTGGATCTGAGTCGAAGATAGTTTGCTGAGTCGAAGATAGTTTGAAAAGACAAGTATTTTATTTGGTCAAAAGGGCGCATTTTCGACGGCCACGTAAGAAAGTCATTGCTGAAGGCTTGAGCGGGAATATTTGAAATTCGAAGATAGTTTCTTTAGATAAGAAGGACGCGTGGAAGCCTTATAGTGTCGAAAGACATGCAAGAAGCAACGTGGCCTTTTCTTAGAATAGTACCATTATGGTTAGGACATTATAAATAGCTCCTTAGCATTAGGGAAAAAAGGGTCATAATTCGTACAAAGTTACTCACAAAATACTCAAGTACCAAGTCAAAGAGAAAGAGTTTCGTTGAGAATGTACGTATGACCTCACAATTTTATTTTTGAAATTGCACTTATCAACATAATTTTCTTTCGAACTATTCTTTTACATATTCCTGCAATTGTTCTTAAATTCTTTATATTTTGTTAAATTATTTATGTTCTGTCAAATTGTTTTACTTTCCTGCAAAGCTTTATAAATCAAATCCCTCTTAAAAGGCTTTTTCTTTACAATCAAGTCATTGAATTCCAGTATTAAGTCTTTTTATTGTCAAATATTTATATTCAAACCTTTTTTGTTTAATTAAGACGTTTAGTCTAAACCTTTACATTTGAATTTAATTTCAGAAGTCTTGCATTCCAAGCCTTTACACAAACACATGCACAAGTATCACGTTATATTTAACATAAACCTTCAAGAAAGTGTTACAATTAACGTTAAGACAATGTCCTAGGATCAATCTAGTCGATCCTGCAAGTAACCATACATATCAAATTTGTTTGGAAGACTAGCGGTTGTTTCGCCAGAAATCACTGCGAACAAATTGGCACACCCGGTGGGACTGTGTCATAATGTTTTAAGGGAAAACCAGTGGTAATCATAACAGAGGGTTTAAAATACTATTTTCTGGTAAAATACGCAAAAGCGTTATATGAACCTTAGGAGTGGCGGGATTACTAGTGAATCTCAACCAATACCTAAGAAAAAAATATACCAGAAGAATGGTTAACACAACTAATGATCAAGGAGGACAAAATCCTCCACAAGGATCAGGAACGGTCGGTACAAGTTCGACGACTAGTTCCCAGGCCATTCCAACATCAATAGGATCAATGGCCGCAACTAATCTGAATCCACCTTACACAGGAACTGCTTCTGTGGCTAGT